ACGCCAGACAATAGTCGAGCATCGATACCCCACTCACAAAACACGGTGTTATCTCAAACAGGGTTTCCAAAAGGTAAATTCCTCGCTAGGCGGCACCAGTCTTTGAGGAGCGTCAGGGTTGCCGTTTCGGCGATGCTTAACCACCGAACCACCATTTTTACTGTAAATCGCCCAATAAATTGCTTACCTTTCCCGCGGCGGCAGACTAGCGGTGTTATCTCGCTATTATCGTTATCATTTGTGTTTTTATTATTTTTTTGAAAAATCTAAGTTTCTAAGGTTTCTACCACAGAGCACAGACTTCTACAATAGACTTCTATATTTCTAGTTTTCTACACCGGTTTCTGACTTTCCAAACGTTTGAATGAAGAAAGAAAACATTTACTCATAAGGCATTCACAGATATCAACTGGAAATTCTGTTTCTTCATCATTAAGAAAATTTGCCATGACACTACACATTTATTCACCTTCTGCTTATGCTTATGTTTGAACAAAATTCAGTAAAGCTCATTACCTTATGTCAGTACTTTAAGAAAATAGTACAAAAAACTGGTTTACCTTGTCCAACTTAAGATGTTGTTTAATCTCATTGGTAAAGAATTACGTGTGTGTTTAATAGTGAACGAAAGAGTATCAAGCAACATGTATACTAGATTGGCACAAGTAATCAGAGATATAAAAATAGATATTACTAGTTGTGTAGTTCTTAAAATCAAAAATGCTATTTTTATATGAGCTATGTGATGTTAAGTTGAAWGTTGAAACAACAGAGTCAAACTTTTAAACTATACTACATTTTTAAGCAATTAGCCAAAGTATGTTATGTATAAAATTATTTTGACAGTTATGAAAAAAATTAATAATTTCAAACATTTTAATAACTTCTCATTACAAGTCTTTGATCAAGAGCAGTTAAATCTGACATGGTGTTATATTCTGTATAATTGAAATAAAAAGTAAAAGGTTTTTATAAAAGTATAATCTTTTCTAACACAATTCACATAAGGAAATAGTTTTGTTACAAAAAAGTACCACCAGATTGTTTAGATGTTAAAAATTCTCTCATTTTAATAACATAAATGAACAAAATAATTCAAATAAAAAAAAATTATATGGGTAATGGGTATACCAAAATATATTATGTAAGTCAATAAAGAAATAATAAAAAAATTATTATTTTTTTTTATAATTAAATAACATAATCATTATATAGGTATTTATCTAAAACATGATTTATATATTCCAGACTCATGTTGAGTATCACTTTATGATATATGCGCAGTCRCTTCATTGTTTTTAAGCTATGTATAAGCTGAACAATGCATCAATAGTACTATGCCCAATGTCTGTTGATGTGAAATCAACAAGTGCTTTCAGAAAATTGTTTTTAAATAGACAAAAGTACCAGGCCACCAGGGAAAACATTTTAATTATTATTTTTAGAATAAAATTAATTCAAATATTTAGTATTTTAAATCTGTTATAAAATTAATATGTCTTTTCTGATGGTGTAAATTTTTTGAAACTGTTTGTCAATTAAAACATTTAAACAAGTAATAAATAGGTATTATAAGATAAATTCACTTTTTTTCTTTTATTTGCTCTTGCAGTCTTGCCGCATACTTACTTGGGAATTATATTAACATTTTTGATAATTCTTATTATTTAATTCTAGTTGATTGTTCTGTTCTATAATTAAACTATACTTTTTAAAATTTATTTGTACCTGTTTAATTATTGAGTTAAACTAATTTTTTGTATTATTTGCTACTGACCAATAAGAATATATTATATAGAATAAATCTACAATATCTTAAATATCTACATAAGAATACTTGGATTGATAGTAAGTTTTTTAATAGATACAATAA